TTTTTTTTTTTTTTTTTTTTTGTAGTGGGTGGTGGTATGGGATTTTTGTTTGTTTTGTTTGTTTGTTTTTTTCTTTTAGCTAGAAGAACCATCCCTTCTCGGTCTGGGCTGCACTGCATGAGCCTGCACCCACCACCCGTTCTCTCCTGCCCCAGGCACTGCTCCAGCTCTCCCATCCCGCGGATGCCAGAATTGCTGCCGGGGTGTGAGCAGAAAGGCAGGAGGAGAGGAGGTGGCACAAACAGCCCTTTCTGCTGGCCACCACTTGGCTTCATCCCCAGCACTGCTTGGGTGGGCTCCCAGGGGAGCCTGCCCTGGTTGCCACCCCCGAACATGGGGTTGTGCCAGTGCTGCTCTGTGAGCACTCACTGGAGGAACAGCTCCCTGGTTGCCTTCCACCCACGTCCACCCTCTTAGAGGAGGATCCACACTCCTTCATGCTAGTGCCTGGCCCCCTGTCAAGAGCTCCTGCAGGCAGGCAGGAGCTGCTCCTAATGGGCTGCCAGGGGATTTGGGATCTGACAGCTGGGTGCTGACAGCTCCGTGCAACTGCTCGCTCCAGCTGCTGGGCCCTCCTCTCCCTGGTCAGATGGAGAAGGATCCCTGACCTCCACAGGGAGGAGGCTGGCTCCTTTTTCTCCCTTTACCAGTTGTTTGCGATGGTGCTCAAGGGCTGTGGTACCCACTGCCTTGGTGGGGCTGCTAAAGCCTTGGGGGACAATGGTGGTACAAGCAGAGGGTTCCCAGGCTGGAGGAGCTCCTGCAGGGTGATGCTCCCACATGGGCACTGTGAGAGGGGAGCAGGTCCGGGTGTAGCACAGAGCAAGTCTTGTCAAAGCTCCTAGCAGGGAGTTGGGGTGGGAGGCCCTTGGTAGCTGGGAGAGCTGGGAGCAAGTGCTGACACCTCCTGGGGCTCCCTCTGCAGCGGCTCTGGACCTCCCAGGCTTTCTCCTGGCTGACACATCACCTCTCTTCTCTGTTTGATGCAGGGCTCCTGTGTCTCCCCACAGACCCCATACAGGGGCTGGGGGGAATCCTGGGGGCTCCCTGGGGTCCGGCTCTGTGCCAGCGGGGGCCGTGGCAGCCACTGCAGAGGGACTGTCCCGTCGTCCTCCAGCATGGAGCATCTCACAGCCTGCCGTCTTGTATGGCTTTTTATTCCTATGTGATTATACATCCCACTTCATATAGGGATTGAAGCCGTGCAATACGCCGGGATCCTACGGCGGAGAGCAGCCCCTGTGCCACGGGAGCCGGCCTCGGAGGAGCCACCAGAGCTGTCCCCTGGGGTGCTGGAGGAGGATTGCTGGCCTCAGCCTGGACTCCATCCTGTATCCCAGGCTCCCCAGCCCTCTTGGGATGCAGGTGAGGGGTGCCAAACTGCTTTGGGGTGAGGCCAGCACAAGCCCACTCCTTGCATTGCACCCCCTTTCAAGGATGAGCTTGGTTCTGAACCACATCTGCTGTGGAGAGCCCCAGTGACTACACTGGTGGGCTCATCCCTGGGGAATCTGCTGTTTTGGTTTTGTCCTCGACTATCCTGAGAGATGGGTGACAGTCTCTGGCAGCAGCTGGGTGCAGGCACTGCCAGCAGCACAGGGGAGGAGGAAGAGGAAGAAGAGGAAAAAGATGCTGAGGAATGCCCACACAGCAAGGGCTGCCCCAGGCACGATGCTCTTCAAGGTTTCTCAAGAGGCCTCAGCCACTCTTTCAAGGTTTGTGTTATATCTGTCACATTAGTGAAAACATTGAAATCGTGGCTTGTGGTGAAGATGAAAGGCAGCCCCTTCCAATGCCTCCATAAAGGAAGGGCCCCATTAACACCTAGTGAATTATTGGCCATTAATCAGGCTCCGTGCAAAATAAAACCATCCACATTTATCATTATTGGATCCTTAATGAAGTGATAATGGGAATGCTGGGGAGCTGTGATATTAATGTCTTCTAAGAGGCAAGAGCAGAGCCAAGGGCGGCAGCCAAGATTTTTAATTTACTGCCAAAAGCTCGTGCTGTTAATAACGCTGTTACTTCTCCCGGCCGTTAGCACTGTTTGGCTACAAGCTGCCGACTTAGGAGAGCAAATCAACCCTCAATATACCCAGACTTTGTTGACCTGCTCCCCACCCAGCATCAGAGCACATTTTTCCTACCCACTGTCCCAGTGTCCCCTGCCCATGTGTCCAGGGAGCTGCTGGCCATCTTCAGCCAGCTGACTCCATTCTGAAGGCTGGCTGGTATGGACAGTTTTCTTTTCCAATAAAAAGGGAAGGGACTGTGAGTGTCAAGCCCCAGTAGCTCTTATTGTCCTCACTTTTTCTGTGGCTTTTCTCCTTAGGCACAAGCACCCCAGGGCCAGGGTGGCACGGAGCTCAGCACAGCCCACACACCGAGGTGCTTGGTGTGACCAGCCACGCTCTGGTTTCTTCACTTGTGCAGCTTTACTCCCATGAGGCCAATATCCCATCCAGGACAGCACAGACAAGCTGCAAAGCCCTGCTCAGCTGTGGTGACTCATTTGAGTTCCCATTGGGAAAGTCATTGCTCCTGCCAGGCCCTGCCAGCCCAGAGGCAAATCATTACCAGGCAAGTGATGCTCTCGTGTCTTAAGATTTGTGTAATCTCACAAATCCTACTAAACTTGACCAGTGTGGCCCAAATGTGTGGTGGCTCATGCATGGGGCCTTCTGTGAAGGGACTGCAAGTCAGAAGGAGTTGGCTTTGGGCTGGAGCAATAGCAGACAATTCCCTGCTGAGCACTGTCCAGAGGAATAAGATGATGCTTTGTCTGTGAGGGCTATGCACACTCCAATGCTCCTTTTTTCCCTAGGCAGAGGTTGCACAAGGTCCACCAAAGCAACCCCTTGGAAATGGAGCTTTGACTTATCCAGGTAGAAGCATCAGAGAAGTATTTCTGTAGCTTGAGTATTCTTGCTGAATCTCCCCCTGGCCTGTTATCTCTTCATTAGGAGAAAAGGGACAAGAACAAAATCCGTATATGGATACATATATGGCAGCCAAGCAAAAGTAGATGGGAAATGCCCTTCAAACAGCTCCATCCTTTCAACAAACCTTTTATGAGACTTCTCTCCTCCCCAACACACACTCTTTAATTGTTATGAAAAGCCACCATTCAGGAAACAAGGACGCTGCTCGGGCTACCTGGGGTGGGCATTTCCCAGGAGAAGCCAGCCAGCACTAGCCCAAGGCCCGCTGAAATTGACTGCGAGGCAGCACAAGCAGCAGCTCCAAGCCCAGGGTGGTGTTCAGCGATGTGGCAGAGCTCTGGGCAGGGGGTTCTGGTGGCCCTGTGGCAGTGTGCCCAGGCTGGCACACTGGACTGCTGCTGAAGTGACCCTTCTGCCAGGCAGCCCAGCCCGAAACCGGAGTCCCTGTGCATTGTGCCGGAGCAGAATGGTGCAGGGAGCGTTCCCCACGCTGTGGAGCCAGCTTTACCCAGCTATCCTGCCTGCAGCCCGTACGTTTGGCCGTATCGCTGCCTGTGAGACTGCCCCCGTGGAGCTGCCCTGCTGGGCTTGGAGCAGGCGACCTGCCAGCGACCTCCAGAGAAAAACACACGGCACAAAGCAGCTTCTCCTGCACAACCACCCCCTGACATTACGGGGGCACAGCGAGCTCTGTAACGCTTGGCAGATTTTCCCCAGCAGATCTCGGAGCTGTTTGCCAGTGTGAGCAAGTTCAGGCATGTTACAGAAGACCTTCAGACTCCGAGGACAAATGAGATGCGTGGATGAGTTTAAACCACCGGGCAAGACTGGGGTTTTGAAATTCCCAGGGTTGTGCCTTATTCTGAGCTTGGGCTGTAGCCCAGGCAGTCCAGCTGCCAGCCTGGCGTCGACACCAGGCCCCGTGATAGTCCTGCTGATATCCCTACTTGTTAGATACTGGCTTCAAAACCAAAATAGGAGGTTTTGCATCCTCCTCAAAACCCCACCCTCTGATCCACCTTGAAGTGGGGTGCAGAACGACTGACTGTTCAGTGAGACACCACAGGGTGTTGGCACAACGGTGTATTTATGTCACGAGATGAGATCAGCCACTCGGAGTAGGTCGGTCTGTCTGGAAAGAGTCTGAGTCAAGCGTGTCCTATTACATTAGAGCTGGATTTTCAAAGGAGCTCAGCTCCCACTTAGACTCTGTAACAAACAGACAGATATTCAAAAGGAGTTGGACGTGCTGGGTCATACTGGCTGCTGAGCTGAAGTCCTTTGAATATCCAGCCAAACCGTCAGCGTGCCTGTTGCTGCAGGCAAAGCCCTCCTGAAATCCAGCCCCACTGTGAGCTCCATGTCCTGGGAAACCAAACTCATCTCTGCTCTCCCACGTATCACACTGCAGTAGGTGACAAAAACGTGATAACCACCGTGTCCTTGTGCATGTGCATGTGGGGGGAGCAGCTCCCTGCCAGAGCACAGATCTGGCAGATTTGCCCTTTGATCAGCTCAGCAGCATGGGTCAGGAGAGCTGATCATGAAGGTTTCCTTGCCTTTTGTTCTGTGGAATCAGCAGAGTTAATCAGAATGACAGCGACTTCTGCCTCAGTGCAGAGGAAAGGTCAGTGGCTCAGGCTGGATGCACAACAGTTTTCTAGACAGTTGGAAAACAACACCATGAAAGCTCATAGCATACATGCTGCTGGCACAGAGGCTCTCCCAACAGGGACCAGCAGGAAAGATGTTACTGTGGAGGGAAGGAAGCTGGAGGAAGATTCCACACAGCCGGCTTGTCACTGCACTTCATTCATCCCCGTCCTTACACTGCACATTGAAGGTATGTCATCCTCTTTGTCACTGTGCACTGCTTGTGTCACCCAGCCAGTATCAAGAACTCTCTGCCAGTGTGCTTCTTAGCCACACTCCTGGGTGTGCCTCCTGCTGGGCTTGGGGTCTCTGTCATCTCAGTGCCCGAGTGTGGGAAGAGCTGTAGGGCACTGTGTTGGCATGTGGAGCAGGTGCTGGGTGTCCCCTTCCCACCACATCCCCCCAACACCTCCATGCTTCAGGTGAGCAGGCCTTACTCTTACTGCTTGTACATCCTTCAGTCACTGTAATTTGCTCCAGTGAACCCCTAAAACCCCACTGCTGAGCTGCTCTTTAGCTGGGAGCACTGGAAGTGCAACAGTGCAGCAAGGGCTCTCCATGGTTGCCCTGCCATGGCCTCAACTTCCCCACATCTCTTAAATTAACTATAGTTGAAGCAGTCACAGGTCTTAAATCCAGTTTCCTTGTCTGTAATGTGACCTCTTACCTTCCTCTGATGGCCCCAATTACAAGTGCTTGTTTTTGCTGTGGACATCCGCTCATGTGTCTAATTAGTGGATTCCTTCTGTCAAAGACACTAGCAGCCTCGACAGTGAGCCCTAATTTAAGTAGTTTGCATTTGTCCACAGCATTGGTGCTTTCATTTACTCCTGCTCCTAATCAAGTGCATCTGGATATCTGCAGAGGGTGCTCTCATGATCTCTCCATGGCTCTAATTAAAATGGCCTGGATGTCCATGACATTGGTGCCTGTCAAGCCTGTCACCAGGAGGTGACGCCCACCTTGGAACTGGCTGAAGAACGTGTAGGAGTCATTGTTCCTGAGAAAGGCCTCCACATCCAGGCCCTCCTGCAGTGCCTCAGCCACCAGCCCTGGGCTGCAGAAGGCTCCTGCTGCCTCCGTTGGCCCATCCTGCCCATCTGTTCCCCCACTGAGGAAGAGGATCTCACACCTCCCTTGGGGGCTGCTGGCTCCTGTGGCCTGAGCCTTGTGCAGCCCCAGCCCCACACGCAGGGCCAGCTCCTGGTTTCTCCCTCCCTTGCCGGTTCCCTGGAGCTGGACTGTGGTTTCTCCACCGGCCAGGATGCAGACTGGTCTGTCGGGCCCTAATCCTCGCAGCGCCTCTAGAAACTCGTCCAGGTCCAAACCTGGGATCTGTAGCTCTGCTGCCAGCTGCAGGAGGTTGCCCCTCAGCTTGTCACTCAGTGCACCTTCTCTGAGGCTGGCAAAGCCCAGGCAGACCAGCTGGATCAGCTGGCAGTACAGTGTGGCAACACGACCGACTTCCCCGTGGACTGCTGCGCTCAGGACCAGAGCCGCATAGCCCAGGCCCTCAGCCTGGCGCCTGGCCTCTTCCAGAGCCAGGGTGTTGGACCCAAGGATGATGTTGGAAACATGGGAGTAGCTTTGTGGAGCAGTGGGCTTGGTGGGAGAGCTGGAGAGGACCATTTCCACTGACTTGGGCAGGTTGTGCAGCAGGTTGTATTTGGTGAGTATCTGAAGGCAGTCTTGGACGCTGTGGGAGCTGGCAGCTGTGGGCCCACTCGCTATGATGTCCAGGGGGTCACCTATCACGTCAGACAGGATGAGACTCACCACCTGTGGAAAGAAATGCCCACAAATTACTGCAGGAGACAAAGACAGGTGACCACAAAAGAGCCCTGGCATAAGCACTGCTCTGTGTGCCATCCCCACATCAAAGCAGATGGAAACAGGGTAGGTCTTCACCTATTTTTTTTTTTTAAATGGACCTGTGAGTGTTACCTTGCCCTTCTCAAACCCACAGATTTACAGTCCCCTTTGAAACTGGACTGTCACGTTGGAAGATGTAACTTGTGACACTGCACTTGGCAGGCCCAACCTAGTGTGGGTTGAGCAATGGCACATGCCGAGAACAGCCCCCAGGGGAGCCAAGGGTCTGAGCCAGCCTTGAAAGCATGGTGCTGAAGCAGCAGTACTTGAAAGTGCCTGCTGGGTGTGGGCTGGGGTCTGCAGAGTGACATGATGGGATGGCTGATGTTTCCCAAGTCTGAATTCCCACTCTTCCACGTCCCTGAGATTTTCAGGCCTCAGTGAAATCTCAGCCAGAGAGCCCCAAAACAGTGTGCAAAGTTGTTCACTGAGTATGGAAAAAACCCTTGCAAGTTGATTAAAGCTCTATTTTGAGGGTAGATGGGTGATCTCTGGGCAAACAGGGCCTTTCCCTTGGTTACCTGTGCAGGATGGGCCAACTGGGCCAGCCCTCCACCTTTCAGCACAGACAGAGTCTTCCGGACAATGTTCAGCTCCTGTATGGCAGCTCCTCGGGAAGCCAACATCTTTGTGAGTTTCTCCTTCTCCTCAAGGAGGATGGGAGGGATGGGAGCAGGCAGTAGGGCTGATCCACCCCCTAGGATGCAGAAGAGATGGCAAGGACATCAGAATAGCAGGAAAAGGAGGACAAAGGAGAGCAAGGCTTTAGTCTTTTCCCTCACCAGTGTCTGGAGGGAAGGCAGAGGTGACTGGGGACATAAGCTAACATCTCTGGAGAATTCAGTCATCTTCAGCAATGGGTTTTAATCACTGCTGTCCTGCACTCTCTGCAGTCAGCTACACTTCACCCAGGCAGTGTGAGCCTGGCTGGATAGGGGCCCCACAAGCCTGCAGTGTGGTGGGGATGACAAAAAAGGGACAGCAACTACCCTCACCTCTGCACTGGGCCACAAGTGGGTCCTCACACTGATGTTCAAGGGTTACCTGGATGGGTGATCAGGGAGCATGGCCTCCACGGCTCACACAGCAGTCAGTGCTGTACACATGGGGACACTGCCTGCTTTGGTGGCCCAATTTATTCAGGATAGTGTGTAGAAACACTGTCTGGGGATGCAGCAAGATTGGAAACTGCTGAACCTGCACTCATCTAGGCCTGTGAGGAAAGAAAAGGGGCTCAGTAATGCAAAGGACAAAGCACACCCCGAGTCCAAGGTGATAGCTTCACTGATGGGAATTCTGTCTGATACAAGCAGGCACTGGAAATGTGGAAAAGAAGGCAAGGTTCTAATGGAAAAGTGGAATGGATGGAAAATAGAGGAGAAAAGAGCAAGGTCTGTGCAGAGAGTGAACATGCACAGAAGTACAGCCAAATGCTACTGTCAAAATGCAAAGCTTGCTCAGAGGTTTGAGACAAATCAGCATCAATAAAACATGATGAGCAAGAAAAACAAATGCAAATGCCTGTGTTTCAGTCAATAGCCAGGGATCTAGCTGAGAGGCAGGAGCAGTTGGGGACCGGCTGCTGTGTGGGAGTGCACATGCATAAGGAGTCACAGCCACGGGGAGATCCTGTATGGGCTCCCTGAAGGGCTGAGGAGTCTCTTGGAGATCCCTGTAGCCAAAAGACAGGAGGAAGCCCAGGGGAATCCCCAGAAAGAACAGCTAGCTTCCAGTCACTTGGGTGTTTGCCTAATGGCACTGCTCTCTCCGTACTGGATCAGGCTTCAGCATCCACAGAGGAATAAACACTGAGCAGAGGAGACCAACGCCTTTCTGCAGAGCTGCTCCAAGCCCCTGCATGCTTTTGCCATGACACCCACTGAACTCAGGATGAGGTGATGTCATTGCATCCCTCTGATACATCTTCTTACACAGCCCTGGAGCTGGGGACAGCCTGGGAGTCACCAGCCAGGCCTGGGGGTGTGCAGAGCTGCCCCTGCAAGGCCTGCAGTTTACTCTATGGGACCTGGAGGCCTCATTTCCACTGTCTGGGAAGGAGCCAAGCCCTGGGAAAGGTCAGTCCCAAATCTCAGCTTTCAGACTCACACTCCTGCACAAATACAGAGTATGCAAGTCTACCAAGTGCTTGCTTCTCCATGGCTGCATCCCCAAATGCAAGGAGGGGGCAGGAAGAACGTGTCTCCTTGCCAAGAGGTGAAAACAGCCAGGCTGTGCCCAGAGGTGCCACTTCACTGTGGTGGCACAACTGCAGGACCCCGCCTGTGCATCTCAGCCTCCTTCCAGTGCTGGGAGGCAGTGTCCACTGCAGCAGAGAGAGCCCTGTGCTCTCCCTTGCCACAACCCTGGAGAAAGGATGGGAGAAAGGAGAGAAAAATGCAAGTGTCCATGCTGAAGGGGCTGGCACAGCACTGCCTTGCTGCATAGCCAGGGGTGGGCAGGCAGCTGGGGACCCCTCAGCAGATCCCATTCCCTGGGATTCCCACACTACCTGAGATGAGCACAAGGAGCAGATCATCTGCAGTCAGACCCTGAGCCAGCTCCTGGATGGCAACTGCTCCCTTCAGAGCCTCTGCATCTGGGAGGTTGTTCTTGGCACCTTCAATGACCTGGATTTTGCTGTGTGGCTTCAGCAGCATCTCCCTGGTGAGGTAAGAGAGGTAATTACACCACGGATCTGTGCACCCACACAGGCAGCCAGGCTGTCACCTGCAGGTGCCTGGTGTACCAGTGGCATACAGGGAGTGCCCAGGACAGGCAGATGGTCTGTGCTGAGTGTCTCTTCCCCATATCCAGCACAAGAGGTGGGCTGTGTCACTGGTGTCACTGGGATGTGATGGTGGTGGGGTGGGCAACAGAGCAAGGGCAGCTCAAAAGGACTTAAGGTGTTCACAGCAACATCCCACAGAGGACAAATCTAGCAGCCTACACCCCTCCTTCCTGTTCCCCAAAATTGTCCATAAACAATCCTCACTGCATTCCTGCTCGCTGCAGGCTCTCCTGGATCCCTAGTGGCACATTGATAATCCCCCGAGTGAGCTGCTCTCCCAGGATCTCTTCTGCTGCTGCGGCCATCCCCAGCACAGCTTTTCCGAAACCCACCAGGTACAGGTTCTTCTTCACTGGAAAGGCCTGGCCCTTCACCAGCAGCTGAGGACACCCATCTCCCTGGAGCTTCAGAGCCCTCTTCAGCATGGGAGCCGGGCGGACGGTGCCCACAGCGCCACGGAACAGGGACAGCGCGTGCTCGCGGAGAGACATTGTGCACAGGCTGGCAGGGCTGAGCCACTCTGCGTTGTGGGTGGGCTTGTGCACTCTGTCAGCACTGGCAAGGCCTCAAGGGCTGATGAGACAGTCAGCAGCCTCCAGCCTGCAAGAGAAAGTGAACATTTTTGCTAGTAGAAGAGACAGGGCTGTTACAGAAAGAACAGAGAGGTCAAAACATGAACTGTGGAACTCTAGCTCCTGTTTCCCCTAGATTAAGGTGCCGTACGAGCAGCACTTTCTAACTTTTCCCCAGGCAGGAAGAAGGGAAGGACAGTGTCACATTCAAACTATCTGTCAGCTTGTGATTCCCCTGCAATCTCATCACCTCCTGCAGGGAAGGTGAGCTCTGCCAGCCAGCTTCTCCATCACTGCAGATTTGCCACTGGCAAGCCATCATTTCTATTTGCTTAGCGTTTGACACCTTTCCAAACTGTGGAAGCTGCTCTCTGTCCTGGAGAGAGCAGGGCAGCTGGGTGGAACAGCTTTTCACTACATTAACTCCCTTCCTCACGCTAGCCAAATGCTGATCTCATCCTCTGGCTGTGCATTGCCCCATGTGTCCCTGCAGCATCAGACACAGACAGAGGAGAAACAACAGCCTTGCTGGTTGCCCCTTGCTGCTGGTGGCCACAGAGAGACCAGTAGTGAGGATTCTTCACCAAACAGCAAATTAACACAAGGCTTCATTTACCTTTCTCTTTTAGTCCTCATTATCCATTAAAATCACATTTAGAGCCCAAATAAGACTTAATATCCAGGCAAAGTTGCCAGCCGTGCCTGTGAAAGCCTTTTTGAGCTGCTCTCCACTGAGCATTAGCATTATATGCAACAGATCTGTGCACGGACAGAAAGATCTCAGCTGCTCAAGGGCAGATACTTGTCTTGACAGAAGAAAGGTGGTCCCTGCCAGCATACACACATCTATTCCCTCCCAGCATTTCTCCTTCCTTCTGTTAACTGGCAGCAAGTTCACTGCTGGTTTCTGAGGATCAAAGATCCTTGTGATCTGCATCTCTCCTGCTCATGGCATTTAAGGCAGGGTGCCAGGAGGCTGAAGCAGCCAGGGCAACACACTTGATCACAGACCCATTGAAATTACCTGAGAGAGTTAATCCTCTCTCTAGTAAGCGGATGTGTTCTGTGCAAGGGATTCTTTTAGGAGAGCTCAGGAGTCCAGAGGTCTCTTTGTCCTGACACTCCCACACCATTGCAAGGTGTTAATCATTAAGCTGGACAAGCTTCTCAACAGCTCCTCTGGGTCTAAATCTCCCTTCTTTTGCTGCAGGGACCCAAAGGATCTACACAAAAATCCTCTACACAGCTTCTCAGGCGTTGAAACTTGGGCACACTCTGAAATCTTGGTACAAGGGACTTGTAGGTAAGGCTTTACAGAGAATCAAAGGTTTGTGAGAGAAAGAACCCCAAGAATCACTGAAGTGGGAAAATGCCCTTAAGAACAAGGCTAACAGTAAATGATTCATTGTTTAGGAGAACAGATTTTAAAGCCAAAAGCCAAGGCAGATTAACTACCTATGTGTACTCCCTTTAGGTGATGGTCAGAATGACTGGCTTTTCAACCACGAGGAGATAGGAGAAAAAAAGACAGGGTGTCCTGACCACTTTGTTACCAGACCCTTAAACTTCATGGCAGCTGATGCTGCTGGCAGTTTAAACCACTGACCCCACTTCAATGAGGGCCAGAGTAACTGCGCTGACCGAAGTGAAGTCAGCTGTGCACCTCTCAGGAACTGAGATAAGCATCTCTGCTCCCAGCAGCTCTCTGATTCACCTGGTGGCACAGAGCAATTCAGAAGAAGGTGCTACAAAGCAGAGGTGCAGCACACCCCGGGTCACCTCGTCTGAGCTGCAATACAGGATTTGCAGGAATGGCTGGAGAAGAAAAGCTTAAAAGGAGACAGGGGAGTTTAAGAAAATAAAGCCCCAAAGTTTTTAACAGGCTTTGTCTCTGCCTTGATGTTTCTGTGCATGGCTGACCCTGAAGCCCGGGGAAATTGAGCACAACCAGACCTGCAACCGTGGTTCCTTTCACACGTGCCCTCCTGGCAGCCCCGTTCAGCTCCAGCTCCAGACACGACACAGCAGGCGTGAGTTCTTTAAAAGCAATCCTCTCCTACTGGAGGTGGAAAAACTAAATGCCAGCTTAATTCATCTGGCACTTGTGTACATATTGCTAATGCTTACTCTGGAAAGCATTTCAGTACAATAGCAGGCATGTAATCTGTTTTCTGCACTCTGAACTCAGATTATATTTTAACCATCGAGGCCTGATCCAGAGTCTGTGGAAGTCAGCAAGCACCTTCCTGTTGTGTCCCAGGATTTTGGGGTCCACTGCCTGACACTGATCTCAGAGCACAGGTGTAAAGGCAGAGTAAATGCAGTGTAAAACCCCCTTGAAGGCAGAGGTTATCCAACTTGATACCAGTGCAAGAGAGAGCTGAATTTGGCACAGATCCATTTGCTTTGCATGTCTCAGTGTGTGACTCTGCTCCTTGTCAGCTCTGATTAGACACACAGGCTCACTGGAGGCTCCCCTTGGAATGGGGGTGCTGCTAATGATACCACAAATCTGTTTTTATGTAATTTATTTATACAGTCTTAGGCACTGGGTACTAAATGTCATCAGGGAACAGCTATAAATCAGTGCTATGAAATCCACTGTAGATATTAACAAAAAATAAAACTCCTACTCATTTTACTAAGGCTTTAAAAACAAGATCAAGAGAACTGAATATCACCCCAAAACACAGGCAGTTGTGGAAAGAAAAATAACCCAAATGCCAGCTCTCAGGCTCCCTCCCCAGATGGTGGGTTTAGAAGTGGTGTAATTGCCTGTTAACCGCCACATATTGCACGAGGGGAAATTACACCCTCACATCCCTGCGTTTTCCTCTTCCCACTGCTGGCTGTGAGGAATCTGGGCTGGGAGAAGGGGTTGATGATGTGACTCATATTACTTCATGCACTAATCTTAGTCTCCCAGTTTCTCAGGAAAATCATTTAGGGATGAATGAACCCTCTTCTATATGGATATAAGGTGACAAGCTACAGGCAGGAGTGAGGTTCAGGTGTCACCTTCCCTTTGTCCCTGGTTGGGATAATTTGGAGTTGTGATATAGACAGTCTTTTGAAAAGTTTCCTGTAAATTCACACTAAGTTTAGAATGAAAATGATGCTAAGAATTGCCTGTTCCAAAGAGAGCTGGAGGATTGTAAAGGGTTTAGATTAATCCCCTTTAAATGAAAACTTCCTCAGCTTTCATTCATGAATAATCTACGTACTTATAATAATCTACACACACCATTATAAGCCCTTTCTTCAGAGGGCTCCTCCTAAGCCTGTAGAAGTTTCCACTGTTAGCTCTCACACCAAAAAGCAGCAAAATCCCAGCTTCTAATTTTCACCTTCTCTGGGAAAGAGGGAGGGCAAGGAGCTGGGCTGTGATAAAATACAGGCAAAATGCTCGTTTGCATTACCTTTCATTAACTTTTTAATTAAAGCAATTCTGCAGGCAAGGAGCCAAAGTCAGAAGGAGACAGAAACAATCCAGCAGTAGGGGCAGAAATGGTAAAGCTGCCAAGTAAATTGGATGGTGGCAAGAGACCAAAAGCACGGACATAGCAAGGCAGAGTCTGAGCCATAAACTTGGAGGCACACTGGGGAAGAAAACAGTGAGCAAATGAGCTGGCTATGCCCATGCAGTGAGAAAAATGAGCCAGCACCTCACTCCATGGCAGGTACTTGAAAGCTAGAAAAATACTTCTTTCTAGGGGCCAGTCTGCCATCACTGGGCAGAGCTGAACTGTTCCAGGTGCTGTGGTTGGAGGTTTGTTCCGGGATTTGCATCTTGGCCTTGTGGTTTTTTTGAAGTCGGGGCAGTTGAGCTTGTTGCAGACCAAGCCAACCACACACACATCCTGAGTGTTGCAGGTGCTGGGAGATCAGAAGATGCTGTGCCAGGATATCTGATTTAACTGAGAACTTCAGGGACCTAAGTTATTTTAGCTTCAATGCCATCAAGATGCCTCTGAATTTCCTCTAGGATTGGTGGCTGGCCCACCTTGTACAGGGTCAACTTCAAAATCCCTGAGGGGCTAAGAAAATATTTGACATAGCACTGGATCAAACCCCAGTTGTTCGAGGATAATTTTGAGCTCAAGCTCTAAGAGACAGATTACAGTAGTAAACTCCCAGACACAGCAAGTTTTAGCAGTGTCTCTTGCTCCTCGTTTTTCTTGCTGCACGACTTTTTTCTGGCCTCTCGGCATGTAAATTACTGACAGACTCACCAAGGCTCCCCGCTTCCATTTCTCCTGCATCACCAGGGGAATTTACCTATGAAGTACAAGAGTGGAGATTTTACTGCCTTAAACTCCCCCGTTCCCACTTACTGACACATCTCCTCTATCATTTGATATATCAACTTTAATTTGCCTGGCGAGCCCTGCTCAAACCCAAGCTTGCTGCTCCACATGGTCCCAAAAGCATTACAAGAAAATTTTCCAGGAGATGCACTGAACCCAGGAGGGAAACAACACAGTGAAGGCTTGTTCCAAGTGACTATTCTGGGAGGATTAGATGGGGGATTTTTCAAGACTAATCTCTTTAAATGAAAATTTCAGAATTTGATTAATTTTTTAATCTGCACATGGATTTGCATAAAATTACTGCACTGCCTCATTCATGTTTGGCAAAAGAGAAAATGTCTGCAGCAAGGATAGGCAGCTATGAAGGGTCCGGTGCACGAGTGGGTGTGCAGGGACAGGGTGAGGGGTCCTTCACCCCCTCTTACTGCAGTGCTCCTGCATCCAGAAATGGGAAAAAGGATGAGAGTGGTCAGCACCAGTATGATGAGACTAGAGGGTTTGCCAAGCAGGCAAGGGAGAAAATAGGATGGAGCCTGGATACCTTTGTTTCAAGAATATGCTGAGCTCTGAGAAACCCAGGAGCCCTAGTTTCCACTACATGGCTTTCTATATGTTGCTTGGAATATAAATATGTTGCTCTCATGACTGATTTGCTCACCAGGAAAGTGTCAACAGGGTCTCTTTGCCTTTGATGGGGAATGTGGCTTAAGGCCAAACACAGGGAAGATAAGTGTTCTATTCAGCATTTTATATATATAGATCAGTATCATTAGCAAAAAAAAAATTAACTGGATTTGACATATGCATCTTACTAGTTTTTCTAGGTCACACTCCCATCACTCCCTATATACCTTTTGGAAATGATTTTCCCATGCTCTGGGGATTGCAAGGAAGAAAAACTTTTCACTAAAAATTCTTCTGTAGCTCAACACAGAACACTACTACCCTGAAGCCAAGCCCATGCCAAGTCTACTTCCTTTCATGCTGTAATTTCTCAAACTCCCTATTCTGAGTCAACTTGCCATCAAAGATGAGAGTCATTTAAAATACAGAGAAGGATCACAGTATTCTAGAGAAGATGAAAAGCTGCGAGCCTTGAGGACTGGAATAGTAGAAAAGGGTTGAAATTCAGTGCTGCGAAATACAAGGTCATGGTCTTTGGGATTAATAGCAGAAAATTATGAGCTCCTCAGCTGGAAATAACATAAGAGGAGAAAGAGCCAGGAATCTTAATCAGTCACAGGATGACAATTACAGCTGCCCTCTGGGCTGCGACAAGAGGCTGTGGGGAATGTGGAAAGCAGCAGATGTCAACTGCCTGGACTTTGCTGAGGTTTTTGACATCATTTCTGTGAGCATGCTGGAGGGTGGGCTGGGCAATCACAGCCAGCCCCGCTGGAAACCAGCCTGACCACTGGGCTCAGAGGGCAGAAAGCAGTGGCTCGGGGTCCAGCTGACATCTGGTAATCAACAGGGACTCTGCTGGGGTTCGAGTCACCCCATGGCTTCATTAGTGACCCGGAGAGTAGCACAGAGCGCTTAATTTGGGGGAACTGCTGATGGAGGCACCTTCCAGAGGAACCGTGATAAACTCAAGGTTAGAGCCCACAGAAACCTCAGGGCACACAGCAGGGAGAAGTGTGAATTTTTGCTGCTGAGCAAGCACAAGTCCCTGTGTTGTGCAGGTTCCAGTGGTATCTAATACAGAAATGCATAGGTAGAATAACTGCATTTGATCGATATTACTCAAGCAGCAATTAAACGTTTTTTCCATTAACTAATTTTGCAGGGGCATTATCCATAATTCCTACTTAATATGACATTTCTCTAGGAGATCCAATTATCCTGCCAGCTAAATTCCAGCTTGGTATAAACTGACAAACTAAGTTCCAACGATTAGGAAGAAAGGCAGAAGAATAAAAAGGAAGTGACAAAATATCAAATCAACAACCCACGGTGTTATACAACTCTAAAACTTAGCTAAGTATTGTAGGTGTTTTGAAGTAAATTGTCTTATGATGTTATTGGTGAGTCACCTCCAGGGCCCACAGGAGATAATCCAGGCTTTGATCCTGCAATTTAGAGTGTGCAGGAGGCACGACATTCCGAGCTTTTCTAAAACCTCTCATCACACAAAAATCACTTGTGGGTCTTGAACTGGCCTAACAAAGGGGCAGCCGACCCCGAGACCCTCAGGAGAAATGAGGGTGTGTTTTGGTATCCCTGGACTCCAGTGTGAAAGTCTTGATTTTGTGTCAAAGTAAAAGAAGGTAAAGCATTCTGAGGAGCTAATCCCACTGCAGCGTGAAAGGATGAGTCGGGTGAGATCTCTAAACATGTAACAGGGAGCTCCAGCAAGCAAACAGCAAGGGCACTGAGACAAGAAATACTTAACTAGATCAGACATGCACACAAAATAAAGCAGCCTGTTTGAAGGATGTGCAGAGCCTTAACAGCCCCTGGACTTGCTGAGGTTTGACCACAGGAGGGCAACAGGATCCAAAAGCAAAATTGAACTATTCTGGACACTTTGAAAGGAAATGCAATT